AAACTACTCCATTCACAATAGCCTCAAAGAAAAAAAAAACCCACTGGGAATCAATCTAACAAAAGAGATGAAAGACCTCTACAATGAAAACTATAGAACACTACAGAAAGAAATTGAAGAAAACCTCAGAAGATGGAAATATCTTCCATGTTCCTGGATAGGCAGAATTAATATTGTCAAAATGGCCATGCTAACAAAAGCATTATACAGACTTAATGAAATTCCTATTCCTATCCCAATGATATTCTTCATAGAAATAGAAAAAGCAGTCATGAAATAAGAGACCCAGAATAGCTAAAGCAATCCTTAGCAAGAAAAGTAAAGTAGGAGGCATCACAATACCAGACCTTAAACTATATTACAGAGCTATAGTAACAAAAACAGCATGATATTATAGACTTGTAGACCAATGGTACAGAATAGAGGACACAGACAAACCCACATAAATATGGTTATCTCATACTAGACAAGGGTGCCAAAAACATTCACTGGAGAAAAGATAGCCTATTCAACAAATGGTGCTGGCAAAACTGGAAATTCATATGTAGCAAAATGAAATTAAACCTCTATCTCTTGGGGCTGGGTTTGTGGCTCATGGGGCTGGATTTGTGGCTCAGTGGTACAGTGCTTGTGTAGCATGTGTGAGGCCCTGGGTTCGATTCTCAGCACAACATATAAATAAAACAAAGGTCCATTGACAATTAAATATATATATTAAAAAAAAAAACCTCTCTCACCATGCACAAAAATCAACTCAAAGCGGACCAAAGAGTTAGGCACTAGAACAGAGACTCTGCGCCTAATGGAAGAAAAAACAGGCCCAAATCTTCACCACGTTGGCCTAGGATCTGAATTCCTTAATAAGACTCCTAAAGCGCAAGAAGTAAAATCAAGAATCAATAAATGGGATAGATTCAAATTAAAAAGCTTCTTCTCAGCAAAGGAAATAATAACATGAGGAGAGAGCCTACAGATTGGGAGAAATCTTTACTACCTGCACATCTGATAGAGTATTAATCTCTAGGATAGATAAAGAACTCAAAAAACTTAACACCAAAAAAAAAAAAATAGTTAACCCAATCAATAAATGGGCCAAGGAACTGAACAGACACTTCTCAGAAGAAGAAATACAATTGATCAAGAAATATAAGAAAAAGTGTTCAATATTTCTAGCAATTAGAGAAATGCAAATCAAAACTACTCAAGGATTTCATCTCACTCCTGTCAGAATGGCAATCATCAAGAACACAGGCAACAATAAATGTTGGCAAGGATGTGGGTAAAAAGGTACACTCATACATTGCTCGTGGGATTGCAAATTGGTGCAACCACTATGGAAAGCAGTATGGAGATAGATACTGTAAGGGTCCGGCGAATGTCGGAGGAACAGACCACCAAGAGACCGACTCATGCAACAGCAAAAGGGGGGTTTATTGGAGATCCAGCATGCTGGGGCTCTTTGCTCACTCAAGGAGGGAGAGCAGCCCAGAGCCCTGAGCAGGGGTTGAGCAGTGCTTAAGTACACTTTTTTTAGGGAGGGCAGGGACTTTACATACATCACAGTCCCCTTTAACAAATCACCATACACCGCGGGAAAATCAAACAACAATTCTCAAACATGATTAGTACATTCATTGGCGGGAACAGGTCAGGCGGGAGTGATAGGTCAGTCCTAAGGAGGGGGATACATTCAAACTGATTGGTTTGGGCCCTGAGATGCCTACGTGCCAAGCTGCACAGGGTCTAGGTTATTAAACAACTAAATGGTCAGGGGGAATATCTACTGGGCAGTCCTGGGAATTGTCCTAACAGCTACAGGAATTTCAGGTTTTGAGTGTAGCATAGGAACTTAACAATACCTGGTCCTTTACATTTTAACTCAGGCTTTGCAGCTTAGAAACTTTACAATACCCGGTCTTTTACACTTTAACTTCAATTTCTTTTACTCTTTCAATACCTCATAAAACTTGGAATGGAACCACCATTTGCCCCAGCTATCCCACTCCTTGGTTTATACTCAAAGGACTTAAAATAGCCTACTACAGTAATACAGCCACGTCAATGTTCATAGCAGCTCAATTCACAATAGCTAGACTATGGAACCTGAAAGAATTCCCCACGCAAAGACACTTCGCCGGGAGAATTCCAATTTTATTGCAAAAAGCAGTGTGCTTATATAGAACTAAGGGGGAGATGGTAGGGTTTAGATAAATGGCAGGCAACCCGTTTATTGGCAAGTTCTTTCAGATATCAGCTCCGGAGCCCAGGAATTAGTTCTCATTGGGGCTAAGGTTCCCCGCCAGCGAGGTTTGAAATTGGCGCCGGCGGGAGAGTTCACACGGGCGGGAACTTTTCGCGCCACTGCAGAAAAGAAGAAGGTAGGAAGAAGAGGTGCTTAGGCGCCATGTTGGGTTTTTTTTTCTCTGGGGTATGGCTGCCGTTTATACTTTTCCCAACAGAACCAACCTAGGTGTCCCTCAATAGATGAATGGATAAAGAAAATGTGATATATATACTCAATGGAATATTACTCAGCTTTAAAGAAGAGTGAAATTATGGCATTTGATAGTAGATGGTTGGAATTGGAGAATATCATGTTAAGCGAAATAAGCCAGTCCCACCAAACCAAAGGCTGAATGTTTTCTCTAATATGTGGGTGCTAATTCCCAATAAGTGGGGGGCACTAGGAAAGAATAGCATTACCTTAGATTAGGTAGAGGGAAGTGAGGGAGGGGAGCGGATGTGGGGATAGGAAAGATAGTAGAATGAAACAGACATTATTACTATATGTTTAGATATGACTTCATGACCAATATGATTCTGCAACATATACATCAGAAAAATGAGAAATTATATCCCATCTATGTATGATATGTCAAAGTGCATAAATGCATTCTATTGTCACGTGTAATTAATTAAAATAAATTTTAAAAAAAGACTGGGAGAAGAGCATTTAATACCCATTCCTCCACAATCTGAGCCAGCATACCTTGATCAGCAGCACTTAAGAACAACACCATGAGTATCTAATAGAGGTCTTTGTTTGTGCTTGGCCAATGAAAACCAAAATTGTTTTCTGTGAAGGGGAAAGAAACCTACTTAGCACTCCACTCTTAACAAAGCCGCCTGCAGAAACAAAGAGCTGGTGCTGCGCAGGATTTTAAGGAAGTTTTAATTTGCAGCAGGATTGTGCACGGCGTAGTGTGAAACCCATGTTTACTCGAGTTCTCATCAAGACAGCGACAGCCACGCTTTCCCCTGCCAACGTTTCTCTGCCTTTCCTATCACTGCTGTTCCACTGACACCAATCTCAAAGGAACTTTAAACAAAGACGTGTCTCGTCACTACGCCCACTTAGCCTGCTGCCATTTGTCTGTTGTCACATTTCTGTCTGTCCTTAGATCTTTGGAATGAACTGACTGAATTTTATCAGACCTCCTGTGTCCTCATCTGTCACCTCCAGACCTTGGGCACTCACTGACTGTGCTCCTTTTTGCAACCAAGGGTTTATTGCTGGTGGCATCCCCCCCACACACACTCCGGTATTTGCATTGCATTAGTATGCAAATTAAACAAACCGAGAAACACTTCCTCATTCAGCTGAGAATTCACAGTTCTAAGGCTGAAGACGGGCTGGTTTACTTTTTAATAGATTGTTATAACACCAAGTTCTGCTGCTGGGTTGAAAAGCAGAAGCATCCCAGATGTGGGCCCTTTTCTCTTGACTTTCCTCTTTTTCTCTCTTGCCCTCTCTCTATTCTTTATTTCTTATTTATTGACTTAATGGAGGGAAGATAAACATAACATAAAATGTATCATTTTAAACCTTCTTAAAATTTCCATTCAGGAGCCCTAAGTATATTTACACTTTTGTTCAACCATCACCATTATCCGTTTCCAGATATATGTCATCAGCCCAAATGGAAATGCTGAATCCATTAAATAATAACACTCCATGGCCCCCAAACCTCAGAGCCTGGCAACCACCATTCTAAGGTGTATTGTAACTTGAAAGTGGGTTTGGATTCATTGTAAATGTATATTACAAACCCCAGAGTAACCACTAAAAATGTTAAATACAAGCAAAAGAAAAAAAAATTGCTGGGTGCAGTAATACACACTTGTAATCTCAGCAAACATGGGAGGCTAAGACAGATGACAAGTTTGAGGCCAGTCTGGGCAATTTAGCAAGACCCTGTCTCAAAATAAAAATTAAAAAAGAGCTGGAGGTATAGCTCAGTGGCAAAGAGCGCCTGGATTAAATTCTCAGTTCCACATACAGACACAAAATTATAATTGATATGGTGAATGAAATTATAATTGATTCAGAGAATGAAATCATAAAATGTTCAAGTGAAAACCATAATGTCAGAGTAGAAGACAAAAATAAGAACAAAGAACAAGAGGCATTATTAGAAAACAGGAACAAATAAGGTAAATATTGTTCTACATCAATAATTACTTTAAAAGGCTTAAATTTTAAAAAAAGAGAGAGATTGTCAGAATGGTTCAAAAAGCAACACCCAATTATATGTTGTCCATAAGAAACTTGCCTTAAATATAGAGTCACACATAGGTTAAAAATAAAGTAATGGAGAAAGATTTATCATGTTAACATTAATCAAAAGAAAGTTAGCTTTAGGGCTGGGGTTGTGGTTCAGTGGTAGAGCACTTGCCTGGCACATGTGAGGCACTGGGTTTGAGCCTCAGCATCTCATAAAAGTATATAAATAAAACAAAGGTATTGTGTCCATCTATAGCTAAAATAAGTAAATAAATAAAATAAAGAAAGCTAGCTTGGCATAATAGTGCATACCTGTAATCCCAACTACTCAGGAGGCTAAGGCAGGAGGCTCTCAAGATGGAGGCCAGCTTCATCAATTTAGTGAAATCCTGTCTCAAAATTTAAAATAAAGAGTGAGCAGTCGCAGTCGTGATGTTTGAGAATGCTCTAGTGGGAGAATATAACAGTGAAAGATACCCTTTAGCCTCTGATATGCCTTAGTTGAGGAGGAAGACCCTCCTAGGGCCTCTGTCTGCCATCTTCCCCCCTGGAATCCTGGGCCCCAGAGATCTATGGACAGAACATTCTGCTCCAGCCAAGGTGGTGAGGGCAGCTGCTCCTAAACAGCGCAAAGGCAGCAAGGTTGGTGATTTTGGAGATGCAATCAACTGGCCTACACCTGGAGAGATAGCCCACAAGAGTGTGCAGCCACAGTCTCACAAGCCTCAGCCTGCCCGTAAGCTGCCACCCAAGAAGGACATGAAAGAACAGGAGAAAGGAGAGGGGAGCGATAGTAAGGAGAGCCCGAAAACCAAATCAGATGAATCAGGGGAGGAGAAGAATGGGGATGAAGACTGCCAGCGAGGTGGGCAGAAGAAGAAAGGGAATAAACATAAGTGGGTTCCCCTGCAAATAGACATGAAGCCCGAAGTTCCCAGAGAGAAACTTGCTTCACGCCCCGCTCGCCCACAGGAGCCGAGACATACACCTGCCAACCGCGGGGAGATCAAAGGGTCTGAGCCTGCCACCTACATGCCTGTGTCTGTGGCCACCCCCACCCCAGCCTGGCAACCAGAGACCAAACCGGAGCCTGCCTGGCACGACCAGGACGAAACATCGAGTGTGAAGAGTGATGGGGCTGCCCATTTTGACTACCAATTTGGCTATCAAAAGTTTGATGGTGCAGAGGGGCCTCGAACCCCCAAGTACATGAACAACATTACCTACTACTTTGACAATGTCAGCAGCACTGAGCTTTACAGCGTGGACCAGGAGCTGCTCAAAGACTACATCAAGCGACAGATTGAGTACTACTTCAGCGTGGACAATTTAGAGCGAGATTTCTTCCTGAGAAGAAAAATGGATGCTGATGGTTTCCTTCCCATCACCCTTATTGCTTCCTTCCATCGTGTGCAAGCCCTTACCACTGACATTTCACTTATTTTTGCGGCCCTCAAGGACAGCAAGGTGGTGGAAATTGTTGATGAGAAAGTCCGAAGGAGGGAAGAGCCTGAGAAGTGGCCTCTTCCTGGTCCCCCAATAGTGGATTATTCCCAGACTGATTTTTCCCAGCTTCTCAACTGCCCTGAATTTGTTCCCCGCCAGCACTACCAGAAAGAGACGGAGTCGGCGCCTGGCTCTCCCCGTGCAGTCACCCCAGTGCCAACCAAAACGGAGGAGGTCAGCAACCTAAAGACACTGCCTAAGGGCCTGTCTGCCAGCCTGCCTGACCTGGATTCTGAGAACTGGATTGAAGTGAAGAAACGGCCTCGGCCCTCCCCAGCACGGCCCAAGAAGTCAGAGGAGCCCAGGTTCGCCCACCCGACATCTCTGCCACAGCAGCTTCCCTCCCAGCAGTTGATGTCCAAGGATCAGGATGAGCAAGAGGAATTGGATTTCCTGTTTGATGAGGAGATGGAGCAGATGGATAGGCGAAAGAACACCTTCACTGCCTGGTCTGATGAGGACTCTGACTATGAGATTGATGACCGGGATGTCAACAAGATCCTCATTGTTACCCAGACGCCACCTTATATGCGCCGGCATCCTGGGGGCGACCGTACAGGCAACCACACCTCTTGTGCCAAGATGAGTGCTGAGCTGGCCAAGGTCATTAATGACGGGCTCTTCTACTATGAGCAGGACCTGTGGACTGAGAAGTTTGAACCCGAGTATTCCCAGATCAAGCAAGAAGTCGAGAACTTTAAGAAAGTCAACATGATCAGCCGGGAGCAGTTTGACACACTGACCCCTGAACCCCCTGTGGATCCCAACCAGGAGGTTCCTCCTGGGCCTCCCCGGTTTCAGCAAGTTCCCACTGATGCCCTGGCCAACAAGTTGTTTGGTGCTCCTGAGCCCTCCACCATTGCCCGCTCTCTACCAACCACTGTCCCAGAGTCGCCAAACTATCGCAATGCCAGGACCCCCCGTACACCCCGGACCCCACAGCTCAAAGACTCAAGTCAGACGTCACGGTTTTACCCAGTGGTGAAAGAAGGACGGACGCTAGATGCCAAGATGCCTCGAAAAAGGAAGACAAGGCACAGCTCAAACCCACCCTTGGAGAGCCACGTGGGCTGGGTGATGGATTCCCGAGAGCACAGACCCCGAACTGCTTCCATCAGCTCCAGCCCCTCAGAAGGAACACCTGCAGTTGGCAGCTATGGCTGTACCCCTCAGTCACTGCCCAAGTTCCAGCATCCTTCCCACGAGCTGCTCAAGGAAAATGGTTTCACACAACACGTCTACCACAAGTATCGCAGGCGCTGCCTTAACGAGCGGAAGCGCTTGGGCATTGGCCAGTCTCAGGAGATGAACACTCTCTTCCGCTTCTGGTCCTTCTTCCTCCGAGATCACTTCAACAAAAAGATGTATGAAGAGTTCAAGCAGCTGGCTCTGGAGGATGCCAAAGAAGGCTACAGATATGGTTTAGAGTGCCTTTTTCGATACTACAGTTATGGCCTAGAAAAGAAGTTCCGGTTGGATATATTCAAGGATTTTCAGGAGGAAACCGTGAAGGACTATGAAGCTGGTCAACTCTATGGGCTGGAGAAGTTCTGGGCCTTCTTGAAATATTCCAAAGCCAAAAATTTGGACATTGACCCCAAACTGCAAGAATACCTCGGCAAATTTCGACGTCTAGAAGACTTCCGAGTAGATCCCCCCATGGGTGAGGAAGGCAACCACAAGCGACACCCAGTGGTAGCAGGAGGTGGCAGCGGTGAGGGCAGGAAGCGGTGCCCCTCCCAGTCTTCCAGCAGGCCTGCCACCATGATCAACCAACCCCCTACACCACCTACTGGCCAGCCCATCCGGGAAGATGCCAAATGGACAAGCCAGCACTCGGATACACAGACTTTGGGAAAGTGAAAAGCCCTTTAGCCCTGGGGTTTAGAGTGGGGAAGGGGTGGGGTGGTCGAGGGTCCATGGGGGTGCCCAGTCCCAGGAGAGGGGACAAAGAAGGGACTGGCCTGGAATTAATAGAGCAGGCCTCTGTGCTGAGTAGCAGTGTGTACACCATTTGGGCTATTAGAGGTACCCTGGGCAGAGCCTCCACATAACTCCCTTCTCCTCTCTCCATGACTCTTCCATCCCAGCTTCTTCTAAGGGGGGAGGGAAAGGGGGGAGATTTTTTTATATATATATACATATATATATATATATATATATATATATATATATATATATATCAAGTTTTAAATTATTGATAGTTTGTCTGGATTACCAAAATCACTCTTCAGCCCTGCCCTTGGCTGATATGCCGCAACCCTGATCCCCACCCACAGCCTCTTCTTGCTCCCCCCCAAGCCAACTATGCAGCCCACCAGAAGGCCCTGTGGGCCCTGTTGCCCAGCACTGTCCCGTGGAAGGCTCTGACAGCGCCTGGGCCCCAGGAGCACTAGCCCCTGCCTATGTGGGGTTTGCCATCACCGTGTTCTCTCCCTGCTGTCCCTACCATGCCCTTCTGCCATCTTCTGGGAGAAGGAAACCAAAGGATCTAAAAGTGGGGGTTGGGGGAGGTTTCAGCCTCTCCCACTCCCCTTTCCCCACACCCCTTACTCCCCAGCCCAGAGAGACGCTGCTCATACCAGAAAAGACTATTGAAAGATGATTTATTTTATTTTTCTCTGACCTTTCCATCCTTGGAAAAACGGAAAAAAGAAAAAAAAAAAAAGACAAAATAGACCATAAAAAAAAAAACCAAAAAAAAAGAAAAAAGAAAAAAAATCAGAAAACCCCCACCTAATCCATAGAAAGTGATGTCTTTCCCCTCTCCTTGGAATTTTTTTTGTTTGTTTGTTTTGTTCTTGGAAATAATATTTTTTTAAAAGTTGCCTTATTGTGGAGCGGGAATCTGAAATAATACCCAAATGCCTGTTTTCCTCGGTGGAGTCAACCTGAAGAGCTCCCACCTTCTCTGGATGTGCCTGGGCTTGGACTGGCTGGATCTTTCTCTGGACTGAGTTGCATGTACAGTGCCTCCTGCCTGGAGGCAAGAGAGTTGGGGGCGGCTGTCAGAGCCGTGCCCAAAATATCCCTGCTGTTGCATCGTTGAAGCTGACGTCCTGTGTCTGTACACTGCTGCCACTTTCGTGTCCTTGCTCTGCTTGCTGTTGCCTCACGCCAGGCCCCGTCCTGCCGTGACACCCTTCATCCTACCCTTGGAATCCCAAGGCCAAGTTTGCTTCAAACTGTTGGAAAACAGAGTTGGCCTGGATCTGGAACACACTTGTCCTCAGCCCGAGCGTCTTCCCCATGCCAGAGGGGAAAGGGGAACACCTGGTAGCTGAGGCTTGGATATGTTTCTCACATTGTCCTGAAAGATCACCGAGACCTCAAGGAAGCTTTATGTCTCATGAAAGGTGGAGAAAGGTGCCGTTCTTTTCCGAGGGTCTGGTGGGGTCTCCCCATCTTGCATCCCCCCCCCTCTGCAAGCCATCTCTGCCCACCCTCTCTCTGATCAACCCCAACTGGGAACGAGACCCCGCCTGGGAACGAGGGATGAGGAGGAATTGGGGGCTGGGGGGAATCCTGCCAGTTGGTGAAGCCCTGTGGCAGGAAGGTATATGTGGACATAGAGTATACCTAACTTCTCTTCTCCAGCCACTGACTGCTTGAGTTGGGCTGTGAATGACAATGGAATGGCTGGAGTCTACTGTCGTCAGAAGCTAGGGAGGGTGACCGACTGACCCGCACAGACTGGGATGTGTGTCAAGTACGGGCATGACTGCATGTTCACCCCCAATGGGAACTGGGCAACACGGAAAAGTTTGCAGTCTTGTTGCTCAATTACTGAAACTTCTTTGGCCCTCCTTTTCAACAGGTTTCTCTGTTGGCCCAAAGGTTGGGAATAGGAGACAGTATCCCAGGCTGACAGGGGCTCACTTGCCCTCTGTCTTTGGGTACCTCATTGCTTTTAGTTTGTGTGCCCCCTCACCTCTGTCATCCCAGTGCTTAGTATGTGGGAAGCCCATCTCACTTCCTGTGACCCAGTCGTCTTGAACCAAGGATGAATGTCTGGTCTCTGCTATGACAATGGGATCTGAGGCCTCTCCCTAACCAGTCTGGTGTGCCTGCCCCACATTGTCCCAGACACTGGACTCCTGGACCTCCTTCTCCCTCCCTTTCCCCCTTTTTTTCCTTTGGGTCACTCAGCCCTGTATTGTATCCAGCACCACAAAAACCTCAGTGTTTGACCCTTGCTGGGTTTGGGGACACAAGGAAGCCTTGGAGGTGGGAAAAGGCTGCTCTCGTCTAGTTACTCCCAGGCCAGGGAACTTCATCTCAACATAGGCTGAGGAGGGGTGAGGGGCTATTTTCTTTCTTTTTTTTTTTTTTTTTTGTAACATGTTAGGAGTTAATGTTGCAAAGAGTAGTTTACATCTTCACTTTCTGAAGACACTTGAATTTAGGACCGATGTATCTGTGACAAGTATGAGTGGCAGGGGCCATCAGGACTAGCCACTACACATCCACCACCTTCCCATGGGAATCTTAAGACCTGAGACACAAAGCAACAGCCTGCCCCAACCCCCTGTTTATTCTCTGCCCTTCTAAGGTTGGTCCACGCCAGAATGACCTGTAGGTGTCAAACAGAAGGTCTGTGTGTGCCTAAGCCCTGATGAGGGACAGGTTTTTCTTGTGCCCTCTCCAGAACCTGAGACACATGCACTATCAGTAGAGAAGGCTACCCAGTCCTGCCTCAGCCTGGACCCCTAGGGCTCAGAACGACAGCAAGAGGCACTGAGCCCCCATGTCAAAGTTAAATGTTTTTGTTTCATTGTAGCTCTTTTTCCCCACCTTTTCTGATGATTGATTACAAAAGAAAGTAAAGCTGCTCAGGAGGCTCTGGAAGTGAGGTGGAGGAAACAAGAAGACTAGCCTTTGGGAGAGCTAGGGGTGTTTTGCCAAAAGCCTGGGTAGAGTGGTCTGGATCATCTGGCACCCTCCCAAATGGGAACCTCAAAGTACCTCTTGTGTGGAAGGGTTCCTGGATTCTCCCCAGCCCCACCCTCTCCTTCAGCCATGTTGATGGCAGAGGCAGAGAACATAAGAACTTACAGCCCAATTCTCACTGGAGAGGAAAACTTGTCATCTGGCTTTGCGAAGAAGGTTCCACCTTACGCTCGTAGTACATTATCTTTACCATGTGCTAGGATATCACATTTAAAAGGACAAAAAAAAAAATGTAAAATACTTGAATGAGCTTGTATTATAACATTAATATTATTGAGAGTATCTGCTTTCCAGGCTGAAGTGATTCATTCATTATTCTAGTCCTGCTTTAGTCCTTTGTAATTTGTGGTAATTATGCTTTTCTTTTTAATACAAAAAAAATGTATAAAAATAAAAATTTGAAAAGGCAAAAAAAAAAAAAAATTTAAAATAAAAAGGGATGTGGTATAGTTCAGTGGTAGAGCACCTCTGAGTTCAATCCAGTACCAGAAACAAACAAATAGATTGGGTACTTTTATTATTTTCACACAGAGTAAGCTTCAGAGCAAGAAGAATTATCAACAATAAAAAAGAGATTTCCATAATGACAAAAGGGTCAATTAGAACTTGGTTTCCAAATGTAATCTCTACAGATATTATCCACTCACCAATTAGCAGTTGAACCTGTCCTCTGTCCATTTATGTGCCTCCTCACGGAGCAGACCCCTTTGTAATGTGCCTTTATGATGTGTCTAGCCCAAGTGTTCCTTCAGGATACCCTGTCAGTCCCAATTGGATGCACGCAGGTGGCAATGCAGACCCAGGTGACACACAAGCTCAAATTCCAGCACTACCTCTGCTAGATGTGTGGCTCTGGCAGGGGACCTCGCCCATCTGAGTACCAGTGTTAAGTATAGATAATACCTTCCTTACATATCTGCTATATAGATAACATGAGATAAAGGGGTTCATAAAGTGCTATATGGTATGGAAGTTGACTATTATTAACCATACCCAGGAATTCAGATTCCATATGGCTTTTCTCCATAGAAAAATTTCACTTTGCTAATGTGCTTTTTTTCCTCTAAATTGATCTATAAACTAACAACAACAAACTAACAACAAAAAACGTATCTATTTTTATAACTTATTTCTATTCAGTTTGGAAAATACATTTTTAAGTCCTCCCAAACCTCTTCTTTCTCTCATATATATGCTGATGCTCTGCAGATGAGCTGTGGCTAATGGTAAAACAAAAAACAAAACAAAACAAAAAAAATCTGTTTTTTCTTTTTTTTCTTTCAGGGATTGAACCCAGGGGTGCTTAACCACTGAATCATGTCCCCAGTCTTTTTATTTTTTGAGACAGGGTCTCCCTAAGTTGCTTAAGGCCTCGCTAAGTTGCTGAGGCTGGCTTTGAACTCAAGATCCTCCTGCTTTAGACTCCAGAGCCACTGGGGTTACAAGCATGCACCACTATGCCCATCCTAAAACAAGACTTTTTTTTTTTTTTCAGAAGCATGATGGTGGGGCTGGGCAATGGGTAAAGGAGAGGAGGCTTGGCAGGATATCGATGGGAGGGTGCAAACTGAGGACATAATGTAGGTTGTTAGAGTCTAAGGACTCTCGATTGAGTAGATTGAGAAAGGCAAAGAGGTGGGACAAGCCATGGAATATCATTGCAGGACCAGGTAGAGCCAAAGATGCTCTTAAAGGAGCATGAGAAGGAATAGAAACTTCTATAGCTGTGGCAGAACCTGCTATTGTTGCAGTATCCATTATTTCCCTTTTTTCCATATTGGTGGAGTTTTTAGCTGGATGCATGGCCAACCATGTAAAGACTACACTTGCCAACCTCTGTGGCAACTATTTCTTTAGGTCTCTGAAATGTGTCTGCATGATCATTCTTATTCAATGCATGTAGGAAAAAGACAATTTAAAGAAAGGAGTGATTGACGGAGAGAAATGCTACTAAGAGATCAAATAAGATGAGGATCAAAAGATATCCTCTGGATTAAGCAACAGAGAATTCACGGAGACCATGGTGAGAACATTCCCAAGGAGTAGTAAGATCAGAAGCCCAGTTGTAAGAGAAGACCCAGGGTAGAGAAAGATGGACAGCAAATATATGCCCTTCATTAAGTTTAGCTGTAGACTACTCAGTGGTAGAGTTCTTGCCCAGCATGCAAAACCAAAAAGGTTACCTGTAAAGAAGACAAGAGGTAAAGATCCACATAAGGTGAGAATGAGAATACATCCTAATCGTCATTTCTTATGTTTTCATAATGACTAACAACCTACATAATGTTTTACTTATTGGCGAATATACAACAAACCACTCCAAAGCGTAGTGACTTCAGCTATAGTAACTCACTTCTCTGGATTCTGTGGGTTGATGGGCAGTTCTTTGCTTCATGTAGTGTGGGCTGGAGCACTGGGATGCCTGTTCGTGGGTGCTACCTGCTGCAGGAGCTCAGCTGGAGCTGTCAGCCAGGGCTCTGGGTTCTCCTCCAGAGGTCCTCGCTACATGGTTGCTTGTGCTTCCTCACAGCATGGCAGCAAGGTTCCATGAAGAAACATTCCAAAGGTGCAAAAAACGTAAGCTGCTAGTGCTTCCTAAGACTTAGGCCTGGAACCAGCATGACATTACTTTCACCACATTGCTTTGTTTCAAACAGAACACAGGACAAGGGGAGAAAAACTGCGTAAGCGCATGAATACATCAGGCACCGGGACCATGAGTAATAATCCACCCAAATAGAAATGACCCAGAGAGGTGGGAGAGATGACAAGGGGCAGGAGAAAACTCAGGGGATGGGGGCATGTTTTATCTTGATTATAGTGATAATCTTCTTATCGTGATAATTATCTTGATTATAGTGAAGAGTTCCCAGGTCTTTATATACACAAGCTTTAAATGTACACAATTTATTGTGTACCAGTTACACCTCAAGGCAGCCATTTGAACAAAGAAAGAAATCTACTCCCTGGAAAGAAAAATCTTTCACTAAGTGGAAGTCTATACATTCAGTGGAATATTGCATAGCAATTTTCAATGATAAAGAGGATGAGCCCGGCAAGGTGGCTCATGTCTGTAATCTTAGCAACTCAGGAGGCCGAGGCAGGAGGATCACAAACTCGACGTCAGCCTGTCTCAAGATAAAACAAAGAGGACTGGGGATGTAGCTCAGTGGTAGATATCCCTGGGTTCAATCCCCAGTACTGGGTGAGGTTGGGTGGGGAGAGTATGAAAAAAAAAACACTGAGAAATGTTTCTGATATACTGACAAATGAAAAAAAGCAGGTATGAAATTCTGGGTTTATTGAAAAATTTGTACAAATATGTATGTGAGGGCAAGCCCAGAAAATCCTATTCAAGATGAAAATGCCTTTACCAGGGAGGAGGAA